ACAATAACCACCCCCCCCCGTTGATGTTAATTCAGTATTAAGGCACTCAATCAAACAAAGAAAAAAGTCAGGAGATTCCAAAAGCTAAAGGTTTCTTCCCACAAAGGAAAAGGCATATCTTGAACTTGATGGGAACGTTTACGGAACAAACAGAAGTAACTTAAATATTTTTACTTGTGCCAAGAAACAGGAATAGGAAATCTACAAAGCAAGAACATGCAAATACATATACATATATTATACACACAATACATATAGTAGTAGTAGTAGTAGTAGTAGTAGAGCGTGCACACACACATGCATGAGTTTGAAATGTCTCTCATCGTTAGCATGCATGTACACACCACACTCACACAAAATATACTGTGCTATATATACACTATTGCATATGCATGTAAACACACATATATGCTAACAATGAGACCTTGCCTCTCAAGCATGCGTGTACACACACACACACACACACACACACACACACACACACACTATATAGAGCAGGGGTGGGCAAAATGCGGCTTGCGGGCCACATGTGGCCCACCAGGCCATTCTATCCAGCCCGCAGGACCCCTAAAACTTTAGAAAACTAATATTTATCTTCCCCCAGCTGCCTGTCATGCAGCCCTCAATGGCTTCCCAAAACTCAGTAAGCGGCCCTCCGCCCAAAATAATTGCCTGTCCCTGATATAGAGAGAGCGAGCCAATGTCTCTCTCTTAGTTAGCATGTGTGTGTACACCATACACACACACATACTATACACCATTACATTATATGCAGTGTGTATACACACACACTGTACTATACACTATTGTATTTTTATATTATACATTATATTATAAATTGAATTATATATATACACACACACACACACATATACACACACACACATATATATATATAAAATTCAATAGTGTATAGTATATATATTGTGTGTATACACACACACACACTACATATAATGTAACAGTATATACTATGCATGTGTGTGTGTGGTGTGCACACACATGCTAACTAAGAAAGAGACCTTGGCTCAACTTGACTTCAACAAGGAATTGGGAAAGGGAGGTTAAAGACACCTTTATGCTTTCCTCCCAACAGACCCCAGAATATTTCAGCAGTGTACATGCTGCTCTAAATTGTGCTGACTGCCTTGGTTTTAAGGAACTAGGCATGTTACCACGTGACTACTTTATGTAATCACCAGTTACATGAAACATGGCATACACCATCCTTTTCTTTGCTGTCCCAGACATGGATTAGTGCAATTTGGCTGGACCAGGGACTGAAAATGTAGTCTGTGAACTGATGGTCTGATTCAACTTCCACTGATAATCAATAGGAGCCTTCATCTGGAACTTAGTTGCAGATGCATCTGGTCCTCCATTTCTTTGCTTGTGAAGAAATAAACAAAGGGCAAATATTAAGTTATTTCAATGGCTTCTGCAGCATCCTGTGGACAGCACCTTGACAAGGAGCCAGTAGGTTCACAAGTAGGAAGGTGCAAAGATACCAAGAAGTGTGCAAATGGGCAGTGAACAATTTTAAAATATTTTCTAATAGGAATGCTGAGTCCTGCATTTTCAAACATTCATGTTTGTTATTTTAATATTTAGCAAAGCATATGCTAGTCCTCAAGGCTATTTGTAAGGTGCAATCATTGCATGGAGTCCGGTTACTATACAGAGAAAGTCAGATTTGTTAGACACCCTGTCATAACAGCGACAGTTACAGTACAAGAACCACGTGGAAAATGTTCTAATGCACAGATACTCTGAAAATCCGCAATGTGACTTCCGTAGAGACTTAAGAGCTCTGGTAGGTAGGTGGAGATACTATAACCACACTCACTGCGACACCCCCGACCCTTACATCCAGGCGGAAAGGGGATGTAGAATCACTGTGCCAACTCTTGCTAGTGACAGAATCCTCTCGTACAGTTGCACCAGTTTTATGATCTCTCTGTGGTGCTGCAGGAGCCATTGAAAGGGAAATCATTCCATACTGTATTTCAAATGGTAGCAATTTTTAAGATACTCCCACAAAAAAAAAAAAAAAGAAAAGAAAAAGCTTTTCGATTTTTCAGTGGGAAATACCAAAAATCTCCTCCAAATCCAGAAGGCGGAGAGTCAAATTTTCCAAAATAAAGTTTCTGGCTCAATCCAAAGAACAAAAATTTCAGCCTCAAAAGTTAATCCTTTAGAAAGCGACAAGCGTGGCAAATCAACCCACTGGTACTCAAAGTCTTGCAACCAATCAGCTATTAACGAACTGTAGATAAAAGGAGAACTTGGTTCACAGCTTGTCTGAACCATCTTCCCCTACCAGCTGTTTGCATTCCCCGTCTCATTGCTATAGAGACCACCAACGTGAAAAGCAAAGCCAAGGACACATCTACCCACCTCTGCCAGAATTTGAATCAGAAGTCATTTGGGAACCAGATCATAGACCAGCTCAGAAACCATTTGCTTGCAGCTCTTTTTTTTTTTTTTTTTTTTTTTGGATTTACCTCACCATGATTTCACACAGAGCAAAGAGCAAACATGGTCCCATCATGCTGGTTTTTTCTCGTCTAACTCCATCAATATCTGATCTTTCTTGGGAGACGTTTTACTACTGAAATAGTACGTCACCCAAACGCAAATGATGATTGTGTGGGTTTTCCTTCCTTCTAAAAATATTTTAATGCACAAAAGCATGTCCATGCCTAAAGCCCTGATTCAAGTTCCAGTGATGTCAAAAGACTATTTGCCACTAATTTAGACAAGTGATGGATCTGTCTTGGACGTTTGTAAGATGAATCTCATTTATTCATTGGACTGTATTACTTAAATCAGATTTACCCACAAGGAACTAAATAAAAGCTGAAATGTATTTTAGCTATAGCTGTCACTAGCACCATCCCATCTAAAAATCCTTGGCGTTTATCTCCAATTTTTATGTTCCATGAAGTAACGTGTGCACGTACACACACATACACGGGCGCTGAGTCATCTCTGGGAAAAGACAGCATCACCCATGGGTTTGAGAGCCAGTTAGAAAAACACTGATGGAAACCAACATGAAATCAGATTTTTTTTTGACATTTTTAAGTTTTATTGAACAACAATTAAAGTTACGGGAATTGATGACTTCAGAAATACTAGTTGGGTAGTTACAGCAAATTCCAGGTTAGCCCAGGCAGCCAATATTGCTTTCAAAGACGATTGTGCTTTTTATGTAAGCAGCTGGAGCCGTCAGGGGGTACCAGTGCTCTTCCAAACTATCAGAGGGGACCACGCCACACCACAGCTAGCAGAGGTTATACAATACGTCTGCACAGTATTTTGTCTGTGACTCAGAAGAGTGTCTAGAGATTGAATTCCAACGTCTACTATTGTAATTGGCATCATTAAAGGCAGTATTAGAAAATGCTCCAATAAAATGCAATAAAGGGGAAGAAACAAAACAAAAAAACCCACCAGTTTTGTTCTTCATTTGTTTCCTTTTTCTCTGGTAGGGAAGGAAGAATGCACCAAGTAGAATGAAAAACTGGCAACTCCGTGTCAAAATGCGTTGAGTTGGCAAGTACCAGGTTGATTAAGGCAGGGGAAACAGATTAGGAAACTGATGAGAAAATAATTTCATAGATTTCATAGACATTAGGGCTGGAAGGGATCTCGTAAAACCATCAGGTCCAGCCCCCTGCCCAAGAGGCAGGAAGACAGCTAGAGTCAAATGACCCTAGCAAGATAGGCATCCAAATGTTTCTTGAAAGTGTCCAGAGTAGGTGCTTGCACCACATCTGGAGGAAGTCTATTCCAGGCCTTGGCGGCTCGGACAGTGAAGATTTTCCTTATGTCCTGCCTAAAATGGTCTTGCAGTAGTTTGTGACCGTTGGTCCTTGTCTTCCCTTGGGGCACTCTGGTGAACAAATATTCCCCCAGATCCTGATGCACACCCTGATGTACTTATAGGCTGTGCTTCTCCAGGCTAGGCTCAGGGGTGACTTGGTGGCAGCCTATAAGTATTCACTGTATTACTTAAATCGAAATAATCATGCACAAAGCTTCATTTTTTTTTCATTTTCCCCTCTAAAACACAGAAGAGAGGATGCTAGGAGCTACTAAATGTGACACTGAAAAAAATCAGACACAAAACTGTGCAGCACCCCATCATTCCTATTTCAAAAAAGGCAATTTTCCTCCCAGAGTTAAGATATCAAAGCCAGGCTATATTATGAAGCCACTTTGGCTGCCTCCTGCTTTCCATCCATCCTGCCAGGAAACTGTTTAAGCTCCAAAAAAGAGCCGTTATGGTGATGGAGAACATTCCCAGACTGCCACCTTGCCATTTGGTGGAGCACTTACTAATTTTAGACAAGGGAGGACAGCACTCAGACAATTAGCCAAGAGGCACTGCCAGCACTTGCTTCCACCCATCTGAAGGCAACAAACAAACAAACCAGCTAAACACCCCTGTCCATAGAAACAAATATGCAAAGGCTTTAAGCAAAGTCCACAACCAGCAGCATTCAGCACATAGACAAAGAAAAAAAAAAAGCGGCTGTGTCTTTTTAGGACCAAATATAGTGTCGGCCAGGGGAAGTGTGCACTTTTCCTTTTGTGAGGAAGACACAAATGTTCCTTTAGCTGAAAAAAACAGACAAACCACTTAACCCACGCATCAGTGTGCGAAGTTTGCTCAAGAAGAGATCTGGTGATTTTAGATGCAGGGCGAGGGGCAGTGACTAGTGAGAACATCTGAAAAAGAATATATAAAAGTAGGTGCCTGTAACATCTCAACCTGTGTCACAGTGATAGCAAATCTCAAGAGACAATCAATGCAGTACAGTATCTGATAACCATTTCCCACCTGTTCCTCCCTCCCCTTCAAAAAATCCCCAAAACCGCCCCGCCATAAACCTATCTGTCCCGGGGGTGCATTTACAGGAGAGAGTACATTCATGGATTCAAGACGAGGAAACGGCACAAAGGAGTAAGAGTTAAAAAAAACAAGACCCTACCTTCAACAACACGACGTCTACCGTCCTGCCCACCTTGGAAATATCACACAGGCTGTACCGTCTCTTGTGTCGCTCGTACATTTTGTCCAGAAAAAAAACTGAGGCAAAACGTGAGGAGCAGAGCCCACCATTAACTCCAGGATCAAGTTGTCAAGGCGCACGCTCCAAATCTCTCACGTATGTGCTCAGAGAAGTCCCTGCGTCTCTGAATCGCATCAGCCTGGCCAATTCTCGTAACAGGAAAAAGAAAATCCCGAGCTGCAACTGGTTGATAAAGTCCTCTTGGAACACGGGCTTGCTTAGACAGACAATGCAGGCATTTATAGTCAAAGCCGATCTTTTTAGAGACGGTATTTTATATACGATTTTTTTTTAAAAAAGAAAAGCACTAAGAATGTCACCAGAATGACCACTGCATTTGGAGAATAAAAAGTTTTCCAGCCAATTTTAATAGCAGAAAAAACATACAAAAGTAAAGTTCTTGAAAGGAGAGAGAGAACAAAAGCCAGCTGTTTGCAACTGGCACTCAGTAACACACCGAGAGATGAAACTATCAGGGCTAGTCTCCACCACAATCTGTCTAATCCAAAGAAAGGAGTGCGAGCACGAAATCCAAAGACAACAATTGCCCCTGATAAGCTGCTGCTTTCACTGTTCGAAGGTGTAAAAGAAAACAAAGCCACTTTCCCTCCTTTCAAGTCAGTCCACAGTTCCCCAGGCGGGAGGTATCGTTTTTTGAATAAGTTTAAATTTCTAATAACAGCACAGGGTAAAGGGGGAGAAAAAAATAAAACAAAGCCACTCCCTCCTGATTTGGACTGAGACGTCATTACTTGCCTTTTTAGTGCTGCACCAGCGTTCTTTGAGCTTTGAAAACTTAATTGCAGTTGTGGGAACATGATTCATCTCTTTGGAGTTAGTCCACAGAGATGAAGGGTAAAGGTGCGTGCGTTTTTAAGGAAGGAGCCAGGAGAGAAAGACAACCCTTCTCCCCTCCCCCAGCCCAGGTAAAGAAAGAGAGA